ATCGGCTGCTGTAGGTGCTGGCGTTGCTTCATCTGCCGGTGGTGGTGGTGAAGCAGTGGAATGTTCTAAGTTGGGCTCCTTTGCTTGATCAGCTGCTTCCGGCTGGGCATCCCTGTGTGTCTCAGCGAATGCTGTCTTTGCCTGGCTTTCTTCATCATCATGTGGAGGAGGAATCGCGGGCGCTGGCAAGGGTGGTTCAACGTGTGCCTCTAGCTGCAAAGGTGGCTTTCCAATGAACCCTTTGACTGGTTGATCTGCATATGGACGGACTGCCAAGGCTAGATGCTTCTGAGGGCGAGCAGTGGCAGCTTCACCATTGTCTAAAGACGGTAGCACAAAGTTTGCTTCTGCGAGCAGAGATTTCTTGCTTGCCGCTGAGAACTCGGTTGGTACCTGGACAGTTGTCAATGGGATACACTTAGAACATAGTTTATTTCCAATCGATTGGGGGTCCCTTTTATCTATATATACATTCTATATAAATATATATATATATACTGTAGTATCTGTATATATATATATATATATATACGTGTTTGCATACATACAGAAAAGACTTACAGAAAAGACTTGCCCGTCATAATATTAAAACAATACTAGATAGAGCAAGAAACCATCCGAGGAAGCAATCGAGAATTGCTAGTCCTTGCATCACGTTGAGACCCCGCAGGCAGCAACAACTTGTAGTGTCCAAACTTCCTACTGTCCTCAGTCTGCACAACCGGGTGGTCAAAGGAAAACAGGAAGTGAACATTCGGCTGCTGGCCATCACCAAAGATCATGTCAGCACCGAAGTCACCAACCTTGCGCACCTGCAAGGTTATTGTACTTAGAACATGCAACAATGCTGTAGCATATGTATGTATATATATATATATAGGTGCATACATAGTTACACAACCTGATTCTTTTTTGAGAGAAGGTTTTGGGAGACATACACATGCTGCTCCGTACTCAGCACATGTGGCCTGCCTCACTGTCACACGTGCACCGGATACAAAGGCCAAGGACAGAAGATATCCACTCAAAGTCCAAAGGGGAGAACTCAATGTTGACCTGAACATTGAGAATAGCCTCATGGTAAACAGGATCAACCTCATCCAACGCTTGTTGGCACACTTGGGCATGGAGCTCCTTCACCTGCTTAGTCTCTACCTCCAGAACTCTTGCAGCAACGGCCATTCCAGTGTGATGACGAGGTACCGACTCCCAGCGTTGCAAATCTCGAATAGCAAGTAGCCCATGCCACCCACAGTAGCCATCAGTCGGCAGCTGGAGCTCCCGGAAAGGTTTCATCAGTTGTGATTTGTAATCGTTCCTTACTTGTTCATGCAAGTGTGCCCTATCTCTCACTTAGAACATACCAAAAACTCAAAAACCTATATATATATATGGATACATATACATGAACCAGCGGATTATGTATATATAAACATAGGGAGAGAGACAGTCAAGCAATGAACTAAAAAACGTTCTGCTGCCAAAGATAAGGATCACAAACTGGTGCGCCTGTGAGACCACCTCTTGCTTGACGTGAAACATGAGGCTCTTGCATATATGTCTTGTGGCAGTCTCAATGTGGCTAGCCCCCAAGTCATCCAGCCACACCACATTGTAGTTCATCCTCTTGGCATGGTCATGCGGTT